AATCGCGATTACAACGGATAACGCATCTTCGAATAATATAATAATAAAAGAGTTGCTTAAATGCGTCGAAGATGCATTTAAAAAAAAGCTTTTTATAAGTTGAAAGATTCTATACGTTCCGTATATAGCTTACGTTTTGCAATTATCTTTTAAAGCGTTGCTCGGACCGCGATTATCGTTAACGAACGAAAGCTTAGAAAAGCATTAAAAAGAAGATTCTAATATAAACGAGCTAAAAAAAGCAAGAAAACGCGATAAACGAAAGATTATATATACACTTACGATTATAAGTTTTTTTTTTTTAAAAAAATATTTATTAATCATATTTATTAATTATTAATCAACGTATTTAAGTTCGGAAGTTTATCAAGTATGTTACGGCTAGCTAACTTCGAAAATCGCGATTTAATAAAACGATAAAAGCTTTTATCGACGATTTAAAGCATCTTTTAACGAAAAGCTTAAAGCTGGTTTTAGATGTTATTATAAAATAAGATTTTACATTTTATATGCTTAATCGATTTATAACTCTTAAAGATGTTATTTAAAAACATTGTATAAAGATCGATAAGATAAGTATTTTTAAATTATCTAATACTTAATAAAAGCAAATCTTATAGCTAATCGATATCCTTCGACCGTTTCATTTTTTAACTATACACTTAAGTGAAAAGCTTAGTCTTATTATTTAATACGGATTTTTAATATTCGATAAAATATTCGAACGTTTAAATAAAGCATAAGCACGATTAAAGTCTAAATATATAAAGATTTCGGAAAAAGATCGCAATGATTTTGAATAGATCTTGCAATTAAAAGAAAGCGTTATTAATGCTATCGAGAAATTAAATAAGTATTATAAGAAAACGCAAAGGCCGTTAAAAGATATTTTTGCTTTCGCGATAATCTTATATCTTGCTATTAAGCTAAAGACTTTCGACCTAAATTTTTCTTAGCTTTACGAAAGTAAAGATTAATTTGCAATATATCGAGCGAAATTCGAAAGGCTTTTTAACGAACATTATAAGTCTTTAATATCTATAGCTCAACGTATTAATAATATCAAAGCAATCGATCGTCAACCGATAGCCGTTTTATTACTCCGCGAGTCCGCGGCAGATTAATGCTAAGTTCTTCTTTATAAGCTTCTTTCGAAGATACAGATCACGAGTCGTCGAAAGTGTATAATTATTTTTCAGCTCGTAAATTTAAAATTTTAATTCAAAACCTTAATTTTATTGATTTTTATTAATTGAGTTTAGCGGTCGACGGACGAGAAATTTTAACTTTTTAGCGAAACCTTAAGCTTCGGTACCTTGATCTAGCTCGAATAGCTAAAGATTTTCTATACATCTTTTTAACTAGTGTTTGCGTAAAAAAAGTATTTAATATTGCAAAAGATATTTGCGATTATCGTCTTAATAATTTATCGCTATTAATAATCGCAAAAAAAATAACTGCTTTATATTTCAAGATATATAATACTCGTTTAAATAAAGCTCGGCACTTATTCGAATCGATTTTAATAAATTATAATAATTTAAATAAAGATCAGCTTAAAGAAAAATTCGAATAAAAAGTACAAAAGTTTTAAAAATAGCAAAATCGTTAATTTTAAAGCTTATTTTATTTTAAATATATCTTTGCTTGCGATAATCTTGCGATCGATTAAGACTTTCGAACAATAAGTTTTAAGCAACGAAAAGCTAAGTTGATAATATTAAAAGTTGAAGTGCGAGAATCACGTAAGTTTAAATAATATTGATTTTATAAATATTTATTAATTATATTAAATAAAAGAGAACTTAAATAAGTTTCAAGATATTAATAAAGATATTTCGTTTAAAATGCGACAGCTACGGTACGGAAAGTCTTTAAATTACGAAAAGCATTCAAAAAGTAAGCTAATTTACTTGCGATATTTTTACTTTTTATCGATTTACTAATCGATTTACTAATCGATTTATTAATTATCATATAAGATTATACAAAGCGCATTCTTTCGCTTCTTAAAGTAAAGTCGTAGCAAATCGATTATATTCTTTATAAAGAAAACTAAGCAAAGTAAATCAATCGAAAGTAGCTACGGATTTACTTTTCGATAAGCAAACTTAAGATGATATAGATTAAAACGTTCTTAATAATATAGAAAACGAAAACGATTCAGAAAATTCAGATTCGAACGGTACGAACGAATCGATTAGCTTTAAACGCTATATAAACTACAAAAATAAAGTGCAACGAAGTACGATATTATATAATATACGCTTTTATTTAAATATAAATTTTAATTTAAATATTAGCGATAGCAAATTTATACGATCAAAACGATTCGAATAATATTTCTTAATAAAATTATTTTAACGCGGAAGAAATATTAAGCCTTAAGCAAAGTGATAAAAAGATAATAAATAGAAAGGAAGCTAATAGAATACCGGACTCGGCTTCGCTATCTTATAGAACTTTAAATGCCGCTTAAACTTCGAAACTTAGTATTTCGAAACTTAAAACTCTTTTAATCGTTATTTAAAGTTAAAGTAAGTCAATTATTATATATAAGTTTAACGACTTTAAATCTAATACTTTTATAAGCGAACGAATTACAAATCTATTATTAATTTTAAAGCGCAAACGAATAAAAGAAAAAGAAAATGATAAAGCGGGATTAGTATAAGATAAAAGGAAAGAAGCTTCTTTTAGAATCAAGCGTTTAATTGCAAAGAGTATCGCTCTTGCTAGGTTTTATAATTAGCGACTTTGATTTTATTTACTAAATTGCATTTTTTGTATCATTTAGTTTTTATATTTATTTGTTTACAATTGATTATAATAGTTAATTAAATTCTTTTTTATCGATATCTTTAGTTTTTTTATTATTATTAATATATTTATATCGACCTTAGCTAGCTAGCTAAGAATACCGGTAGTAATAATTAAAAGAAGAGTTTACCCGTAAACCATGGTTCACGGGTCAGTTAGCATGCTTCGCTTAAAATGTTATATTAATTAAAAGACCTTTAACTTGATTATAAAACCTTTTAATTAGCTAGTGCACGTAATTCTTTTAATTATGAGTATTACTTTTATTAAACTTTAAAAGAGCTGATTCTTTTTATAACTATTAAGTTTTTTAATAAAGTTAAGTTATTCGTAAAGCCATATAGCCCGTGAACTATAGTTTACGAGTAAGTTACGTGTAGCAGCTTTACGTACGCTACGTATAACAGCCTTACGTGGGTTACGTGTAGCAGCCTTAAGTACGTTAGGTGTGGCAGCCTTACGTAAGTTACGTATGACAGCCTTAAGTACGTTAAGTGTAACAGCCTTACGTAGGTT